TCCTTGAAACAACTTAGCAAGCAGAGTGAGGGTGGGGGCTGTAAAGTACCGGCTGGGTGGTTGGGTGCAGTCAGGCTGAGCTGGCCAGGTTAGCTCTGGTGTTGCCAGTCAGGGCTAAGTGAGTAACAGAGGAGCTGCCGGGTGGGCTGCATGATCTCTCCTTGTCCTCATATGGCATCAGAGTGGTACAGAAGAATGAAGCTCCCAACCTGAAAGATACCTGGGGCTGAGTTTGTACTCTCTAAAACCGAAGAATAAATTTTAGGAATAATAGAGGTTAAGAGCAGAATATATTTATTGGGGAAGAAAGTTCTTGTCAGAGAGAGACAGAAGGGGGACCCAAGTGGGTTGCCCCAGAAGCTGTCTCTTCCAGGGGCTTTTATGGAGTTAGACTGTGTGATGAGCTAAATCCAAGGTGGAAAACATGGGAACTCACTAGGTGGGCATGAGGAGGGACAGAACTGTGGGCACCTAATAAGATTATAAGCACAATTGCTCAGAAAAAAAAATGAGTAAACGTAGGACCAAGGGGAAAAGCCAGTCACTAACAAGTGGACATGAATACAGAACTGGGGCTTTTCCTGTCGGAGACTGGGTTAGTGACTATCTTAGGCATCCTAAAGGCCAGAGGCCTATTTAGAATATCAGTCTCTGATGTCCATCCTTAGGAGGTATGCATTTGTTTGACCTTTTCTCTTGAGGTCTAGCCCACAGCAGGGGTATCTGTCTCTCCCTAAGATGCAATGTCTTTTTTTCTTCCCTTCTGGCTCCTTGAGGGCCTGGCCCTGTCTGACTGCCTGTAGTATTTCTATCTAACTCAACTGCCTGCAACAAGACTACTAGTTGATTTTTACATTTTTAAGTTTCCATTACAGAACTACACAGTGAGACTGTCTCCAAAAACAAAGTACTGGAACCAGTCCTAGCCCAGGCCCAGTGTGTTGGAGAGCTTCCTGCTACCCTGTGCCAGCAGGACCTACCAGTCCAAGCCCAGGTGTAGCATCGGTGAGACTCTCTTCCACCCGTTGGGACGCCTCCCATCACTCCGTAGCGCCCTCCCACCCCATCAGCCAAGTAGGAATTTCTGCCACATTCTGGAACCCCCAGATCCAATCCTAGCCCAGGCCCAGTGAGTGTGTGGGAGAGCTTCCTCTCCCCCCTACTCTGCCTTATCCTCTACAGACTCAGCTCAGGCCTGGCATACAGGACTGAGGTGAAACCCTGCAGCTGCAATCCCTGCAGAGATAGTAGGGGACAGAACCACCCAGCTAGTCCAAGAGCAGAACACCTTGCCAGAGGGGCACAACAAGTTCACTCCCAAAGATGGTAGCAGGAAGGAGCTGAGCACATCAGCCAGACCCAAGCCAGGCACAGCTGGATAAGTCCAAACTTTGTAGATCTGCACCTGAATCTCAGTAGGTGCTAAGGTTTTAACTGCACCAAAGCTCTACAACAAAGGCCAGAAGACAGTGCTACATAAAATGCAATGAGAAGGAGAAAAATGCAATCTCAGACCCCAAGCCCATCCATAGCAAGTGCAGAGGACACTAACACAGAACAAATTGGGAATCACACAGCTGAAATCAATGAATCAATGACTTCTGAAATATAGAAAAAACTGCAGAAAGGTATAGAGGAACTCAGATTGGAAATGAAAAAAGAAATCCCTGAATTAATAACATCTGCACTAAAGAATCAAATGCAGAAACATATGGAGGAAACCCAATGCCCACCTAGAACAAGTGCAGATGGCACTAGCTCAGCTCAAATGCATGAATTAATAATGTCGATAGTAAATAAGTGACAGTAGAAAGTCATAGAGGAGCTCAGAGTTGAATTCTTTTCTACTAGCTCAGCTCAAATGTATGAATTAATAGCCTCGATAGTAAATAAGCAACAGCAGAAAGTTATAGAGGAACTCAGAGCAGAATTCTCTTCTGAAATAAAAAAGAATTCTCTGAACTCATAGCATTTGAAGTAAAGAATCAACAATAGAAACATAGGGAGGAAACACAATCTGAAAAAAAAAAACACTGCAGTAAAAGAATTAATATCTGCATCTAAAGAAGACATTGATTAAAAAAATAGAGATTACAAAAATGATGGATTCCTTGAATAAGCAATACAGGAAAGAAATAGATCGCATGAAGCAGAGTCAAAGTGATATACAGAAACTTAAAATCTCAATCACAAGCTTGCAAAACCGTTTGAGTGAAAGTGAAGATAGAGTTTCAGATCTTGAAGATGCTGGCGCAGCTAGTGCAAAGGTAAGAAAAGATCTCTTAAGAACAACTAGGATGCAGGAAAAAACAATTCATCACTTACAAGACGATGCAAAGGTGAACAATGTGAGACTAATAGGTATCAATGAGAAAGAAGGAGTCAATACAAAGGACATTAAAAAAATACGGACAAAAGTAATAGCAGAAAACTTCCCAAATGTGAGGAAACAATCTGACATTCAAAGCATACAGAGTGCCAAGTAACCTCAACCCAGTTAAAAACACACCAAGATATATAATAGTCAAGATCCCAGAAATTCAGCTCAAGAATAATAAACTGAAAGCCACTAGAGAAAAGAAGCAAATCACATTCAAAGGAAAACCCATCAGAATTACAGCCGACTTCTCTTCACAAACCATGAAGGTAAGAAGAGCATGGAGCAGAGTACTACAAGTCCTCTATGAAAACAAATTCCATCCCTAACTACTATACCCTGCAAAACTCTCTTTCAAGTTTGATGGAGAAGCGAAATACTTCCATGGCAAAGAACAACTAAAGAATTTCATGATGACAAAACCAACTCTACACAGGCTCCTGAAAGATGTTCTAGAGAGGGACCAAAATGATCAGAACTCCTCAAATGAGATCAGAAGCAACCAGCTGAATAGAGCAAGCAACTAAACACAGGAGAAAAAGGAG